TTGTCCCAAACATGTCAACCTCTTCAGATGTTTACCTGATAAAAAGACTCAAAAATCTGTAAATTTTGCAAAAAATCCATAAAACTCTCACCTGGGTGCGGAGGGTGGGGAGCAAATAAATCTGTTTACCGTAGTACCTTACACTGTCAAACTTGTTTTTAGGGGTTCAAATTGGGGTGGGTGGGATATAGTTCGGGGGGTGCGCTTCAACTCGCCTAGGGCACCAAATTGGCTAGAGCCAGCACTGGATCCGGACCTTCTGTACAGGTGTGAATAAACTCATGCAAACAACCGGACCGAGACCCATTTTTTAGGTGGTCTTGGTCCGCTTCCAATCAAACTCTGGTGTGGTTCGAACTGAACCACCTGCAGGAAATAAATAATATATTTATTATTATTTATAATAAAGTCTATTTGGTCCAGACATAACAAGTGGACCAAAGGATTGTCCTGCTGTGATACACCCTTAGATTTTTCTGACCTTTAACCCTTAAAAATGAGTCAATCAGTTTTTTGTGTCATAGCGTCTGCACAGGACCAATCATTCTGGTAGCTCAGAACTGGCCCTGACCCTGGCCATGACCCTGACCCCGATCCTGACCCTGACCTTTTCTGTTTTTCTCTCGTCCTGTTCGACTGCAGACGCTTCGGTCAGCAGGAAAGACCTACATGGTGTTCTTTGTGGTGGTCATCTTCCTGGGCTCCTTCTACCTGATCAACCTGATCTTGGCTGTGGTGGCCATGGCCTACGAGGAGCAGAACCAGGCCACCATCGCCGAGGCGTGTCAGAAGGAGCGAGAGTTCCAGCAGGCGATGGAGAGGCTGAAGAAAGAGCAGCAGGTGAGGGAGCTGAAGTTTCCTCAGGTTTACRTGCAGGTTGTAGGATTGAGTTGAGGTTAACCTTCATGTTTTCTGCCAGCTTGCAGCKCAGAAAACCCTCGACTCAGACTCTTTGGCGTCACCGGACCTATCACCTCTCGGCCCCCCTTTGGACAGCTCAGAGGAGCGGAGGCGGAGCCAAGCGCTGATGGGTGTGGCTGACGTGGAGGGTAATCTATCAGAGGAGAAGCTGCTGCAGGTGGACATGTTGGACGGGGGAAAGGTGAGTCATCATCTAATCTGGTCACTTCCTCAATGTTCTTCAGCATAAAACCTGAGATGCACTGACTCCGCCTCCAGCCCCTCCACCCTCTCCTCGCTCGCTCCTTCTCCACGAGGACTCGGCGAAGCAGTCAGGTGTCCTCCATCTTTAACTTCCGCCTGAGAAGCCGGGGCTCGGAAGGAGAGATGGCCGACGATGAATTCAGTGTTCCTGGTGACGTTGTGGAAGGTGTCGGTGGGCGGACGTACAGCGGGGGGACRTTCAGTGGAATCCTGGCCAACCCTTGGCCTAAACGGAGATCGAGCACCTACAGCAACGCCAGCAGGAACTCCCAGGTGAGCCAGGACCTTAAAGACCTGTAGACACTCCCAGGTGAGCCAGGACTTTACAGACCTGTAGACACTCCCAGGTGAGCCAAGACCTTACAGACCTGTAGACACTCCCAGGTGAGCCAGGACTTTACAGACCTGTAGACACTCCCAGGTGAGCTAGGACCTTACAGACCTGTAGACACTCCCAGGTGAGCCAAGACCTTACAGACCTGTAGACACTCCAGGACCTTACAGACCTGTAGACACTCCAGGACCTTACAGACCTGTAGACACTCCAGGACCTTACAGACCTGTAGACACTCCAGGACCTTACAGACCTGTAGACACTCCAGGACCTTACAGACCTGTAGACACTCCAGGAC